GTTTTGATAGTCAGAAAGGTTTCATTTATGACAGTTGTGACCAAGTCTGTCAGAGTGAACAGACGAAACAGTCAACAGGTAAATCATATTTCAGGATCTATCATAAATCATAAAATGAAATCTTTCTGACTGACAATATTGATGTTTGTCTTGCTTTTAAAATGTCTGTTGTGCTTTATGTTTCCAATTTAGTTTTTTTTATCATCTATTTTCCTTCAGTAAATTTTGACTCAAATTTTTAAAAAATATGACATTAAAAATTATATGCTCCATAAAAGTTGATGCATACTCTTATTTTTTGCAGAAATGTTGAAGAGATGTTGGCAGCTCGAGGAGAGGAAGTGAAGAAAATGCTGGCCGATGAAAACATAAATCTAAGTGTTGAGGACATTGCAGGGAAGGAAAACCTAGAAAAAATTCAGGAATTGTTGCACTTAGAACAGCAGAGTGACAAATCATGAAGACGATTTGTGGAGACATTGGCACGGCTTTTTAGTAGTGTGTCAGCCATTTCTAATCTGTATATTGTATTTGTCAGTTTTGATGTTTGTTTTGTCACATATGCCCAACTTATAATTGTTTTTTTTTTATTTATTTATTTGACCTGTGCCATCTACAGCTAACCCCTTTAGATTTGATAGTCATCCATTATGAACGTGTTTTGCATTTTGAGGCCAGGAAGAGAGAAAATTTAAGATGAAACATTCTTTAAATAATAAAGATTACATGTGTTAAATCATTGGTGTCCATATCTTTTTTTTAATCAACTACAATTATTTAAGTAATGTTTTTAACATTTTTTGTACTTTATTGCTTTTTCATGTAGAAATGAAAACATGTATAACACTGTATGCATAAAAGTGTACAGTGACATTTTCATAAATCTTATTCAAAGTTATGATGTTTACATCATACCCTAATATCAAGAACATAAATTATACAATCTGGTTAGAATTTAGAATATAGAATTTACAACAGCAAGAAATACTAAATATATCATGGTGAAGATGTTCCCATGTTTCTCAAACGTAAGATATTCATAATCATATCTGAACTCTTTTAACAATGAAATATATTTGGCAATGTCCAGTTGTTTCCTCTCTTTATTAAATGAAAGTAACAAATACTTTGTCTGCCATTTGCAGCAGAATGGGACATTTCATACCAAATGACATTTAATACCAGTTTGCAACAAAATATTTAAGATCATGTGTCTAGATTTTCTTGAAAGAATATATACATTAAATGAAAAGTGACTATCACACTTGTACATGGTTCTTCTAAGTTATTCACAAATTACCATCAATACAATCAAAAATAGTTATATATATATATGCAGACTATCCATGTAGAGGAAATAACCCAAGATAATTCAAATTGCCATGACTTGGGGTAAAATCAATTGAGATTTTGCAGAATTCAGTGAGTCTGGTATAATGGTAGACTAGGGAGTGCAGTGCAATAACAAACAAATATTAAAGCTGACAATTTATCCCCCAATATTTTTCTGGCTGTCTATTCACAAGTTCCAGCAAAATTAGCCACCATGTTTTGCATCTCACATTTGTGTTTTTTTCCAAAACAAAATTCCCAGCTAACTAAGTTTCATCCTTATCGCTGAAAAGTTAGCCCCAACGCGTGCTATCAGTGCTTAAGACCTAATTTTAGTCCATCTCAGTTGATTTCCATTCTGGAATGCTCAAATGTTTGTTAATGGTATGGTTCAAGAACATCAGTTGTTCTTTCCGATTGTTTTCTCCATATTAGTGACAAAATGATAAAAAGAAACTTAATTTCTCTGCCACACGATCAGTTAAACAGCCAACTTCTAACTAGCCTCAATCACTGTAACAGAGAGGCATTACTCATAAGGTAATCAGTGAGTTTACTTTAAAAGTCCATTTCTCCATTTAAGCAGCCAATCTCAGCTCACAGATTCACACGTGAAAAAACACTGAAAATTACTCTGTAAATAAGTGTTCACGGTAAATTAAAGTTCAAACAGATAATATGTGACCACATGACCAACATGAAAGTCATTGTACCTTAACTTTTGCATAACTGAAACCTACCGTGAAACTATCAAGCTACTAATTCAGCACAGAACTATCTGCTAGCAAAATTGCTTTGTTTTGCATTAAGGACTTTTTCGTTTTATGTACATAATGCTTCAGGAGAAGTTCAAAGGTATGTCATAATGTAAGAAGTCAAAAAGTGTCAACACAATCTATCATCTCTTTTTGTTTTGCACTGCCTCCTTCCTTGCTGCATCCTGTAATAGCTGAGTATCGCACTCATCTGCTGGGAGCTGTACGTAACGCACCACAGAACCTCTGATAAAACAGTTCTTCACAGACAACTACAATAAAAAAGCATGATATCCAGTGTTATTTTGAAAAAGGAATACTAAACACAATTGCTGTAAGCAATGTCATACACTTTCATCATTATCAATAATATTCTGGGGTAGCACGTAATATTCCTATAAAAAGAAGAGTTTCAAAAGAAAAAAATATATATTGTTGTTATTGATTTAGGCAAATATAAGGAACTGCAAATTGTGTATTATTTCTTTTATAAATTGTAAATTCTAACATTCAGCAGTGAATGCCCAAGTCAGTGCTGCTGTCAAACTTACCATGTGTGGGTACTTGTCTGGATCTGTGACACTGATCTCTGTCAATTTGATGTTTAAGAACTGATCTACAGAATGCAATGTGCCACAGACACTGAAAATTTAAAAAGATATTTAATTTTTTTTCTTATTCTTTTATATGAATAATTATTCTATACTAATATTGGCAACCAAACTACATGTATGTTTCTAATTAATTAATTTAAAAATGAAATATAAAAATAAAAGTGAACCACAAAGAAAAAAAAACAACTGAGTAGTGCACAATCAAATTCTACACTGATTTTGTGCATGCTCACTTCTACTATCTCTCACATAAGAATGGAATTGAGTATGACGAAATAGAATTACAACTTGAGCCATCATTTTTTAAAGATTTTTTTCAACATACCTGAGATCATTCTTCAGTTCAACCACCACGTCCTTACCCACCAACGATTTAAAGAATGAGTAGAAAAGCTGAAAATTGAAAACAGAAAATGTAAACTGCATAAATCCAAAATGCAAAAATGAAAATAACAGGTGTTCCTTTCACTTACTCCAAGACAGACTTTTCTGTCAATTGACCTGGTACATTTACACATCAGATTGTTGACTTGCATTGGAAGATCCAAATGGCTCATTAAGTAGGGGGGGGGCGTTGCCTAAATTGATCAGACAAATGCAAAAAGAGTTTAACAACAAAAATTCTAGCTGGGTGTCAGTAACAGCATTGTCGCCTTTGATGATGCATTATTTTAACAAATACTGATAATGACATACTCACACATGACAGTTCACACAGCTTCACTATCATGTGCACAAGAAATTACATTTGCAGTAGAGGAAAAACAAATTACCTGTGACTAAATAAAAAATATAAGAGATATTTAACTTCCTTAGGTTAAGCACACGTCAGTTAATCACACATCACTACGAACAAAACGCTGAATTACAAAATGTAAACAAATAGTAATCTCTAAAACACGTTTCTCACCATTTTTGCATTTGCCGAAAAGGAAGTGCGCAGATAATTGCGCACAATGTGAACGTGATCTCGCATGTTTTGTACTTGTGTTTTAAATGTTTATCTGGCGCTTGGGCGGTAGTTATTTTCCTGAGTGTATCTGTATCTACTATTGATTCAATCCTTATATACATTCTGCAATAAAAAATACGACGGCTTGCAAATTCTATTAGATCTATATTAAGCACGTGACCCACTCTGCGAGATTTCAGAATCCATCTTGGAAAGTGTGAGTCTGCAGAAACCGGCTCGATATTTGCACATATTCAGAATTCAGTTCATTAACCTGGAAGACAATGCAGATGGATCCAGGACTACATAAAGGGGAAGGATATCAGTATGGCCCAAATCCTAAACAGCACTACTTTAGTCCATATTCCATGAATGGAGGGTGAGACTTCACTTAATTTGCTTCATTGTCGTTACTGTTACTGTCAGTGTCAAGACATCAAATTGATAAAACGCTAATGAATATTGATATAATTATTATTTCCCTTTTTCTGTTTAAGTTATGCAAAGGTTCTTTGGACATATATCTATTTAATTTTTGTAAGTAGATCTAATAGTGGAGTGCGAACACTGAACATAGGGTACTCATTTTTGTCATTTTGTCCCTTTGTGAATAATCCTTTGTAAGGAAAAATAAAATTGTAAAAGTCATACTAAATTCTCAACATTTCACTAGAGAAACATACTCCAGACACAAGTTAACACAGGAAAAGGCCATTTGCCAGAAAGCAGGATATTATTTAAGCACGATATATTGTTAGCTGGGTAGTTAATATTATTCATCCAACTTAACAAGTCTTTAATGACTTGTTTATAAATAGTCCATCATGTTGGACACTCAAGAAGAGATGCATCTAGTGGCACTCTTATTTACAGTCTCTAATATGTGCTATTTGTGATAAAGCATCCATATCTCAGGTCTTACCTTTTGAAGTCACACACAAAGCCAACATCAACAGAGCTGTGATGAAAATTAGGCTTCGTTCACATGCAATGTCTANCCTTAGGTCCTCTGTTTTGTCTTCCAGTTATGTCAAGTGACATAACTGGAAGTGCTGTAAATTATACACTCCACTAAAGACAGCCATGAATGGACTTCTGAATGCAGGCAGTTGATCAAATAATTCTTCAACATATTTTCCCAGTAGGGAAGACTCTATAATGTGGTGAAATGTGTACATGTACAATTGAAATTGCCCAACCCATGATGAGATTATTTGAGCATTTGCTTCCAATCCCTGGTGTTCTGCTTGTATTTAAAAGTATGTTGATAGTGGTATTTAAAACTTTGGTGGAAGCACTAGCTGGCAGTCATTTTACATCAATGTTATTTATCATTAGGACTGTATTGGCAATTGCTGGTGAAGATTTTGCTGTGGTTGCATCAGACACAAGACTTAGTGAAGGATTTTCCATTCACACAAGAGACTCACCAAAAACATATCAGCTGTAAGTTTGTAATTTGTTGTCGTTTTTTTTTTTTTTTTTTTTTTTTTTTTTTTTTTTTTTTTTTTTTTTTTGGGGGGGGGCAAAATTTTTTTTTGGGTTTTTTTTTTTTAAACACCAAAAAAAAAAATTTTTTTTTGTTTTTAAATTTTTTTTTTTTTTTTTTTTTTTANATATTTTACCAGTAGGGAAGACTCTATAATGTAGTGAAATGTATACATGTGCAATTGAGATTGCACAACCCATGATGTGACTATTTGAGCATTTGCTTCCAGGTGGCAAACAATCCTTGGTGTACTGCTTGTATTTAAAAGTATGTTGATAGTTGTGTTTAAAACTTTGGTGGAAGCACTAGCTGGCAGTCATTTTACATCAATGTTATTTATCATTAAGGACTGTATTGGCAATTGCTGGTGAAGATTTTGCTGTGGTTGCATCAGACACAAGACTTAGCGAAGGGTTTTCCATTCACACAAGAGACTCACCAAAAACATATCAGCTGTAAGTGTGTTTTTTTTTTTTTTTTTTTTTTGGGGGGGGGTACAACTGTATATCTGGGATTTTTTTTTTAACAACCGACAAGTAAAAGTTTTATATGGTTATAAATTTATGTTTTTATTTATTTCTAGTACCGCCATTGCTTCATTTGCTTTTACTCTTGACCTATAAAAAGTAAAATCATGTTTACTAGATGTTTTCATCTTTTTTTATAGAAATTGGTTATATTGTTATTCTCAATACTGCTGATTATTTACAGAACAAACAGCACCGTGCTTGGTTGTACTGGTTTCCATGGTGATGTTCTCACAGTGACCAAGTTGTTAGAGGCTAGGTTAAAAGTAAGCTATTTAAATGTCACCCTTATAAATGTGTTTTCATAAACCACAAGTGATTTTAGATATTTGGAAGTTCAATACCTCATTGGTTACTGCAAACCCAAAAGTTATCACCAGCTTAGGGTTGCTTGCTGTGTGTGAAATACTGTGTATCTCACAAAGTTTTGACCATCAGTGTTTATTCTTTAATTGGTACACAATAAACAGTAAAGTTATATATGCATTTTTGGAATAATTATAATTTTAGCAATTTTTACCCATTGATAAATTGCTTCATGGCTTACTCTTTTTAACAGCTGTTTTCTAGAGGTTAAGATGTACATCAGTTGATCCATATGCATTTTATTTCTTGTTCATATATGTTTGTATGATATATGTCTGTCAAATTTTTTCCCAGAAGTTAAAAGAGAAAATTTATTTATAATGAACCTGCACAAGTATCATCTAAGGTTATGTTATAAGTTACAATGATACCAAAAATCAAACTGGCCTGTTAATATTTGTTTCATAACCTGTTCATTTCAGATGTACAAAAATGAGCACAACAGACAAATGAGTACCTCTGCCATTGCTGCCATGCTCTCCACTGTCCTATATTACAGACGGTTCTTTCCTTACTATGTATATAATATAATTGGAGGATTAGATGATGAAGGTAATGTATATTGGATATTGTACAAAGTTTCTTATGGCCAGAACATCTATTTTACTGTTTGATATAAACCAAACTTGTAAGGGACAGAGGTTTATTGTATTTAGAGGAATATTGTAAAAATAGTGCACTGCTGTTTTGAATTGCTCTTGTAAGGTCTTTCCTTCATATCCCCAAAACCTCTCCTCCACACATACAGTACAGTACACTGCTGAAGAGTCAAAAGATTTTGCCCACATTTATCACCATCGAGGGAAAGGAGAGGAGGTTTTTAATTGTTACTAGACCTAATACCTATGAAAATCAAGGTACTTTTCAGCAAGTTATGACAAAGTTAAGTTTTAGATTCATTTTAAGTTCAGGACATTGGTTCAAAGAGTATTTATGTATTTATTTATTCATTGTTTGTGTCTCTTCAAATTTGCATTTCTTATTTATTTGTACATAAGTATGGTAGATGGGTAATTGTCGTGCTTCCATATGTATGTTAATTTGTGGTATAATTTTGAAAAGGAGGGTCAAGGCATATTAAGTTAGTTATTCTCATAAACAAATACATCCTCTCTTTATTCTCTAGGCAAAGGCGCTGTGTACAGTTTTGACCCTATAGGATCGTACGAGAGAGAAGCCTATAGAGCAGGAGGAACTGCTAGCTCTATGTTGCAGCCACTCCTAGATAACCAGGTAAAACAGATGATGTTATTGAAACTTTACATTTTTTTATTAACTTTTTAAAAGTACTTGTCACGTGTTTGCACACCAACAATTTTTTATGTGTTTGTGTAGTAAGACATTCTGCTCTTGATATTGTAGTAAGAGTCAATTTTGTAAAATTATAGATCTAGATCTATATACTCATAAGCAAACCCCCTTATCTTTCAGATTGGCTTCAAGAATCAGGAAGGTGTCACTAAAGTCCCCCTGAGCAAAGAGAAGGCTGTATTTCTGGTGAAAGATGTGTTTATCTCAGCCGCCGAACGCGACATTTACACTGGGGATAACATCATGATACATGTCACAACTAAAGATGGCACAGAAACTGAAGTTTTCCCTCTCAGACGAGATTAACAAACTCAGTGCATTAGGGTTATCACATGGATGTTATTTTCCTTGACAGAGAATGGGACCGGTTTTCTTTTCTGTAAAGGGCAGAAAGACTGGACTTGCCCCCATAAAGACAGGAGAGAGCTGTTTACTCAGTTATCTTTGGAATGGGAGATTTCCCCTACTGTTCATGGTTGACTGGGAACCTGGGATGTACTTCTCATTTGATTGTTCAGTAACTTAGAGAAAAAATTGTGGAGGTAAAGCAGACAGTATCAAAGTGAGAAACCGATTTAAAAAGCTTTAAAGACGTGCTGTTCACTTAAGTGATGAAATTGTACATTTAGTAACATTCAATAAATATGAATCTAGTAAAATCCTGTTGGAAAACAATCTGTTGTATATTTATTAGGTGTGTGTCTGCTTCTAAAAGCGTCTCACAATTTGAATGTGGGAAAGTTTTTATGGAAAAAGCCGTTGTTTTAGCCTGAAGCACTCTGACCACGCTTATTCCCAGGTCCAGAATTTACAGATCCAGGGGATGCCCTTTTTTAGAGTTCTTGCCTTGTTCCCCTAAACATTTTTTCCCCGCATTGCATGTTTACTTCCACTTTACTAATTGTAAAATCTGGGTTTCTGCAGTTCACCGAATTGTTTTGGGTTGTAGTGCAAAGGTGACCTTTTATTCAATTTGCTAAAGAACCGACGTTTGTACACGAATTAGAAAAAAGTCTAAATCCCACATGATTTTGTTGCTGCTGACGGCTGTTATTATCTTTAGTGTTTAAGATGAAAGTTTGACCTATATATACTCACACCTAAACCAGGAAACGCATAGAGATCTTTATATCAATTTTCGTTGCTGTGTGATTAGTATCGGTGCTGTAAATTCGTTCATTCTTGAGCTGAAACGCGGCGATACAATCTAAAATATCTGCGCTCTATTCGGTGTATAATTTCTATTAAAACTACCAATTTAAAACGATGAATCCTTTTTTTACAGCTTAATCGTTTATCTTTTTAAAAGTCAAATAGCATGTCATATCTGGGTCGTTGTCCGTGCTTATACCGTATCTTTGTCTAAGCATATATATGCACAACAGATCAAAGAAAGATGTGAGCACGGACTTAATAATTATAGTAATGTATATTTACAACCAACAATTAGGTGTTACAATGTTACCGTCTACCAGGGAAATATAGGGAAATCTTGAAAAGCCAGGGAATGAAATGACTGTCTATTAATCTAAAGACATATCTGTGAAAATCTTGTAAAAATCAATCTGTCGCCCTGGTAGAGGGTATTACAAGGTAAAAGTTCATAGAATAACACGTGAAAATTGCTTTAAGTGAAAAAAGTTTAATTCATAAGGACAATAAGATACATTTCTTTAACTGCATTAAAACTAATTGAAAATGCAGTCGACTAAGTTATAGAAATACTAAAAAGTTGACATTGCCCTAGAATGAAAGTCTTTAGGGGTTTCATAGTGAGAGTTTCAAGTTCAGGTAGACCAAGAAATAAGATATCCCATCTAACTCCTTGGGTAAAACTGCACGTGTGCATAAAATGTTTGGGTCCTGCGTAAAGTATAAGGTTTTTCGGTGTTTTGGTCAAAGTGGTATTTAGCTTCAATGATAGATTTTCAGACATGTTAGCCACGCGAAACCATTAAAGCTACTGCTTGGTTTAATGTACCCTTCTTGGTTTAATGAATAAACATTTTTGGCGATACGTAAATTGCTGGCATTTATGCTAATACATGTTATTACCTGCAGGTTCCTACTTTGTGTCACGCATATAGACGGCTCATCTCCCCTTTCTTCGACGCCCCTTTGGTAGAACTTTCAGACAGTATTTCCGTTTCACAAGAGTCGAAGCTATTCCCATCCTTCTTTAAAAATGGGTAAGTTGGACATTTTTAAAATTTTCATACATAGGATTTTTATTGAGAGTTTTCTCAGCATAAAATGGTAGTTTCTTTTTTCGCAAGTTTCAAAACAACCTGGGCTATTTTTCGAGACGATTGCACCAGAGCGTACAGATTATGAGGGTTTTTCTTTTCATTACAAGTGTATTAACAGTTCACTATATATATATATATATATATATATATATATATATATATTATTCCTAGAAAGAAAATAAGCATTATAAATTGAGCAACTGAAGCGGTCCCATATCAGTAACTTCAATTTAACGCGATGGCTTTCATGTTTCAATTCTAGGTAATACCCTTCTGAACCCTTGCAGCACGACCGCTGCGGCAGTTTCAGGACAAATATTGGCTTGTGATAATGGTTTAACGACGCAACAAGGGGCATGTACATTCAACCCTTTTTTCCTCCTCTTCACAACGTCGGCTCAGGCCTGCCTGTGTCCAGCTGGATACTACCTGACGTATAACCTTACCGCCTCCCCAGATATCGATGTTGACTGTACAAGCAGTAAGTATTCGGAAACCGTTTTAGATGTAACATTTTCCTTATGTGTCTTGCTTTTAACGATTCATTTTGCTTTCATTTTTTTTAAATTTAAAGTGCCAGTAAATAAGATTTGAGCATCGATTTTTCTTTCATTACCAATACTTTCTAGGACTAACTAGCCTTTTGGTCAAAATCGGTTTGAATCCATTATTCATTTAGCGACCTTTTCCAATCGCTCAAAACATTACATCAATCAATAATGATTTCCTGGGTGTTATCTTAAATTTCAAAGTACATGTATCTTAATTGTTGCCGTTTACAGTCTACACATACATTAGTTTTATTCATCATTAGTTTTATCAAACATTTATCCAGTCAGAGAATTTCTGTAAAAATATGCAAATGAAAACTCTCAATAAAATTTAATACTTCATGAAATTACTTCAATATGCCACGTTTCAAATATTTAAACTTCAGCAAACACATTTACAGTTGACTAAACTGATATATTTCTGTGCCATCGTTCATATTTCCTGATCCTAATTCTACATGATGACTAAAATATTCACTCATTCACAAATATATTATTTTCCAGTATCAGGCACACCTTGTCGTTCTGATTTGGATTGCAACTCCAGGGCCTCGGACTGTTTGGGTATATCATCGTTCAGTCAAGTCAACTTCGATGGCAGCGGTACCACGTCTACTGTCTCCCAAGACATTGTAGACTTTCTCTTAGTAAGTCTTTTCTCTTACATTATACGTCACATATCTTTGTTAGATCTTGGTGTCACTATCATTTATTCTTTTAGTGTAATGCACAAAAGAGAGAGAGAGAGAGAGAGAGAGAAAACTATTGCACATGGAGTGCCAAATTACAAAATAATTTTGAGAATAATAAGAAAAATGAAAGGATAAAAGACTAAGTCTAGGTTTATTTTTATTTTAAAAAAAAAGGAAAAGGAAAGAAAGAAAGATAAGAAAAACAATCCTTAGGTACAGCAACCATTATGGACGACAGTATATCAAATTTCCTATGAGATTCTGCTATTATTCTTGGAAGCGTGTACTGTTAAATATGTGTACTTCAAGTTTTAGAGAGGATTGAATAACTTAATAGTAGGACGTAGATGAAGAAATATTTTCTCAGATGAACATTTGCGTCTTTGTGAGAAATAATCAAAGATATTGTTGAGCCAAATTCTGTTTATGTCACCAGAAATTAAGACGGCATGTGCCTTAATTTGAATCTATTTAACGATATAATATCTTAATATTTTCACTTTTCAGCCAGCTGTATCTTTGATATGCAGCTTCAATGATATATACTTGGTGTCGAGAATACCCGTTTACTTTTGTGATGGGGCTGCTAATGCGATAGGTCGATGCGAAGCAATCGAATCTGGCCGTAAGTTTTTTTTATTATTTCCTATGATAAAGTGAGAGTACGAACAATTCACTTTTCGTTGTTTTTAGGATACACATGTACCGGAACATGTGCCAGTATGTAGTCCAAATATCGAAAACTGAAACCGTGCATATGTACTTATTATTTTTTCTATTTTTTCTATTTTTATTTATTTATTTATTTATTTATTTATTTATTTATTTATTTATTTATTTATTATTTTTAATGGCACATTGAAGCTGACATTGGGCATAAAGTGAAAATTATTGTCAATAGGATGAAAAGAAATTGTCGTGGAGACTTTTGCGGGAGTTGTTTGCTCATTCCGCCTTAAAATCCAAATCATTTAAAACAGCTACCATCATGCCCAAAGGGGGAAAAAGAAACCGTTTATTTATAAAGACTCAATTCAGCGCATTTAAAAAGATATAACAGTACGAGGCGTATCTATCTTCTTAAAGGAATTACCCAGATCACTAGCTGTTGTTCTCCTAGCATTCAATTAATAGGGGATAAATATTTTTGCTGCATGTACGTCAAGTTCGGGGACCCCTAGTATCATCAAGGTATCATGTTTCTCCTTTCTTGTCTGAAGACATTATTTTAACGTATCTTACGTCGAAGGTTGTCATGTACGTTAATTTCATCTGCGCAGACTCAGAGTAACAGAGTTGACACAATCTTACTTCGGGGAGAGTGTAGGATTACGTAACCTAAGGTTTTTATTAGGTGTATAAAAGTTATTTTTCTGGACAAAAATCTTGCTTGAAACAAGCATGGCACGTTAATTTCCTACGCGTACTTCCATAATTAATGCTCAAGGTATGCATAATGATGCTGATATAGACTTTATATCATCTTGGTACGTTTTTATCTTTGACAGATAAAATGATGGTTAGTTTTAAAGCTGAATATGCACGTTGATAATGAGCAATTCAGGAATGCTTAAATACCCGGTACAGCTATCTGATATTCTGTTATCCGGAAATCTTAAGTAGTATGTGCAAATTACAACCCATCATTAAGGCCATAGTCTGGGCTTACGATCACCCGGGCATCGGACTTAAAAATTATAAACGTGCGTCTGTCCTTTATTACCTAAACAACACTATAGAACTACCCGCACTTTAGTCCCGCCGGAACAGTAGGGCCTAACATCATATGGGCAAATTCCACTTAATCGGAGAGGTATTCTTAATCAGTGGCGGATTTAGGGGGACCCCCTCCCCCCTTCGGTTTCTGAAAATTTTATTATATTTTTTTTTTCTTCTTGAAATTAGAATTTTGATTAGCTGAATCATAGTCCTAAACCGTACCAAATGGCACCGTTTGCCCTCCAAAAGCCAACTTTTTCTAAGCCCTTGAGCCCCACGCCAAGAAGACCAGTGAAGGCTTCGCCGACCTCGCAATCCGAGGCATGTCAGTCCTAAAAAACGGACCTCCCTTCAAATATCCAGGCTCCGCCCCTGTAATACATATGTTCAATGATGATCAATTTCTTTCTCAAATCATCATCTTACACGTCTCTTAACAATTACGATATTTCAGAGAGAATTTTATAACTTTTTTTTATTCAAAGAATTATATGTTGGAATTCATGTCAAGATCTCTTCAAGCTATCATTCTTTTTATTAGTTTTTTTTATTAGTTAAAACTGTTCATATAACAGTTCTAATTAATGATCATTAATCATAATATACTTTATATGAAATGATATCTGGAAACAGCGCTGAGACGCAATTGTGTAGTGCGGTGTTGAGGAATTATTTTTTATTTTTTAAACAAACTATTTTTTCAGCATACGAAACTCCGCCAATAGATGTACCGTTCTACCAGAATATCACACTTACCCAGGGAGTGATTCGAGATCTCAACCGCCGCCTGCTTTTCACGAGATATCCCGTGACGTACAACCAAAGCGACCCGTTGACCTTTTCGTCTGTCAACGTGCTGAGCGGACTTATTCCCTGAGCTTGGATGAAGCCATCAAAATGACTTGAAAAGAAAGGTTTTACTGGAAAAAGTCCAATAGTGGCCACTAGGCAATCATTGCCGAAAAAATCAGGGTTCATGTAACAGAGAACCCGTCCCCGTCACATTTGTGCAGGTTAAGGTTAACACGATAAAAATTCGGCCGGGGTTTAGCTATAACGTCAGTGGGTCAGGAATATCTGTCATAGGGGGGTGGGGGAAGGGGGTCTGGTAGAGGATTTGAACCGGTGTAACGAAACTAAGGGTCAGTGTAACAAAAAGTTCACCCTCCCTTTAGTTATAATGGTTAGAGTTAGCGTGACCTAAGTGGGCTTACCTTTACATATGAATAGATGGGGGACTCTGTCACGTTACACCGTGTTGATTATCAATATTACGTAGTTAGCACGTTCCGGCTAAAGATATTTTAGACGTTAAATTCGGACGTTAATAAACTTGAATGAAGTATTATTGCATATATATATATATATATATATATATATATATATATATATATATATATATATATATATATATATATATATATAAAATTATGCCACTGGTTTGTGGTGATTTTAGTCCTTCCTTCAGTTATGGATCTGTATCCCTCTTAGAAATTCTTTCCATTTTGTAAATGTTTTGACTAAAGACCGTATTGTGTTACATAACGATACGCACATTTGTCATGTGGAATAATAAACGCAATGTAGGCCTATATGAATCTTTTTCTTCACTGATTTGTTGAAATGTTCTTTTGTTGTTGTTGTTGTTAATTAAGACTGGTCCATTTATGCAGCATTAGATGTCAGCCAAATATAGTTAATACTGTAACGTGATAATTAGAATTGAGAAATGACAATTGAAATTAACAGAAAAAGACACGAAAATATCAACATAATTAATTTTAATTAAATATTTCAAGTTTCAGTTACTTTAAAGTTCTAACGGAAATAACGCGTTCGAATTGCTTGAAAGACTAAAATGACCTCGACGTAACATAAGATAAAACTGCTGCCGGTAAATAGATATATGTTATTAAAATACCACGCCCCCTGTATTTTGACTTATTAACTCATCTTACCTTGACTTATCATTGACCTAATTTTCCCACACAGATTAAGGGTCATTTTAATAACTTGATCAGTGAGGTAAAGTTGTATAGTTTATCCCCTTTGTTGAAAAGTGAATTGATTACGCTGTTTTGATCTCACCACAAATAGGAAAGGTATATGGTGGAGTTTTTGGTAAATCACAGGTGACACAAGCAGAGGCAGACAAAGTTTGTTGAAATGACACCGGTTGACTCCATGATGCCCGCACGGGAGTTCTCAGTTACAGAACGCGTGTTACTGCACGGCTGTGGCTGCGTGGTCTTCCCCTTCATATACTCCTTGTTTCGCGTCATATTGAAGGCAAACTACCAGACCCTGAGCAGAGATCAAATTTATACGATTGCTACAAAGTAAGTAGATTACAGGAAGAAAACGATGGAAATACACACAAGAACGAACACATATAATTCACATTCGTAATCCTACGCGTGCGCGTGAACAGACACTCGTGCACACTCACAATTTTTTTTCAACCGTGAGAGGTGATGGACAGCTCACTCCAAAGGTGAAACAGAGAAGTAATGCAGATCCAGCATATCACAGAGAAAAATATGGGGCATCATAATCTTACATCATGGAAGTTGATAAGTTGTACGCTTTAGTTCCTCTCATATAGTAGGTAGCATAGGGCACTGGCAGCACTGTATCTTTATCACTTACTTAAACGGTATATATGTGCCCTACTGTTATTCAACACCAGGTTAGTTTCTAACTTGCCAATCTTTCCACTTCGTGGAGTAAAGTGAAAAAAAAACGCTTTCAGTTTAAACTGTGCAAGATGCATAGGCTGATAAAAATAACTGTTGAGGAGACTTTTGCCTTAATATATTTAATGCACTGTGTTGATTTAATTATCTTAGTTAAACAGCAAGGACAACAAGAGTAGGGACAAAATATGAGGGTTTGCAATCAAACGTCGACTTCCCAAAGTTAATAGCACAATGATTTCTGTTGAATTGTTCTCCTGTGTTGCAGAGGGGTTACTGCAGTGCACTCCGTACTGGGCAGTGTTATGGGGCTGTGTATAGTGATGAGCTGTCAGGATGACGTACTGTACAACAGGTAGGTACTTTTTTCGTGGCTGTGTAATACACATTTTTAATTTTCCCAGGAAATATTGAAATATATGGTGCTATTCAAAAAATATATAAGTATGTAGAAAATATATAAGTATTTATAAACTATACAAGTATATATATAATACCTCCCAGCCAGTTTTGTATCTTTCTATTGTTAGGGTCCAATTTCATTTTCTAGGAATT